TTAACCAAACTGAGATAGAGTGTTCCAGACATGATTGATGTCACTGATGTTAGCATTATTTGAAATATCTAGAGATTTGATTATATATTCTCAGGCAATTGGTAATAACATATTTTATTATTTTGTCCCGTTAATGACTCAACAAAAATACTGCTTCTATCTTTCTTCTCAAAATTCGCAAAAGTGGGAACATTAAGAAATTTTACTTGTTTGCTTCTTTTAATACATAGCCAAAGGAAAGAGATTTTTTTTCTAGGAGGCATTTATTCTTTTTAAACAAGTAAATCAACCATAATTTCAAGCAGTACTGTTTTATTTAGCATTTCTAACATACCAATTGGCATTTGTACAACAGAATTAACCTTTAAAGTAAAAATAATTCATTGAATCATAAAAGATCAGCAGCCAAAAGTTAAAAGTGAATGACTAACTTTCACAGATAAATGTTCCGGCCAAGAAAATGTAAGTTAATTTAAGAAGCAACTGATAAAGCATTCCTCACACTTCTAAGGAAAAACTCACTTGTTGAAAATCTTCAATATGTGAAAATCTCCAAAAAGTACTACAAAATAGTGTGATAACCTTAAGGACTGAAGAAAAACCAAGATTAAGAACTATTATCAGAAACTGAAGGACTTGAAAATATAAAAGTATACCTATTATAAAATATATAATTTTCTTGTTTCTCTATTCAAGAGGTTTGTGTTATTAAAAAAATTAAGTTTGCATTTTTTTCACACATGGATGTTGCTATTAAGTAAACATCTGTATTTTATTTATTTTTTATGTTCTGATCTGTATTCACAAGGATTTCAGATAGCCTGTGACAAAGTTTAATTAAATATAGACAGACCTAGATCAAAATAGCATAAAGAAAAAGAAAATTTGGTAACTGTAAGAGTCAATATATATTTTTATGACTAATAAATTTTGATTCACTGCCATGACAAGACAAGCAAAAAAGAAGGGAGGGAGGGAGGGAGAAGACAGACAGACCAGACATTACCAATTCACATTAACAGAATAGGCAGAATACCAATTCCCAAGGAAGGCAAGCTTATCGGATGATAATTTCAAAACAAAAGATATAAAATGACAAATGATTTATGGTATATTGAAGACATACTATGGTAGTCTATAGATCCCTTAAATATTATGTTATAAGAAAACATTCCTAAGGCCACTGTACATTTGTTGATTACTCATGCAAAATATTATTCATCAAAACACTTTTTGCAAAAAAAAAAAGCTATACTTTCCAAAATTACCCCACTGAAATACAAACAGCAAAGAACAAGGCATCCTTCGGATCTCTCCACACCTTGAATAATTACTTGAAAATTGATCTTGAATTTTTACTCTAGATAAACATACAGTTAAGTCCCTAATAACCAGTAGATAAGCCAGTTGCTTAAATGACATAATTAAAAGCCTTAGATAAAACTTCCACTTCAGGCCATGAAGTAATAACAAGGATTGATCCTCTCCTTCCCAAGAAATCAACTAGAAAACTGCACAAAATACATTAAAAAATTATTGTTAGACATTGGTCAGTAGAAAGTGCAGGACTGTGATGCCAGAGAGAAGGAAAATAAGCAATGAGAATCCTACTACACCTGAAAACAATTACTGTACAGCAAACAGGAAAGAGAAACCCAAAGAGTCTGACAATCTTGATGACTAAGGAGGTGAAGATGATAGTGGAAGCTGAGATAGTTAGAAATTGTGGGACAAATATGCAAAGAAAGAGTTCCAGAAACCTAAAAAAGGATTCTATTGTGTCCATGCTGAGATTAGGTGGCTCAGGTTACAGGAAGAAACTCCCACAAATGCAGGCCAAAATGATCACTGAGATTTTAACTGAACAACTCCCAGAGCTCACACAGGACAATAAGAGATTCAAGCTTCAACCAGCCAGAGTAGAGAGTCATCAGTAATCACACTGGACATTTTGTAGAGGTCCCAGAGGGGTCACACTTCAGGAGTAGAATTTAACCCCAAGCAAAGGTTCCTCCACATTACAGTTTTTCAATTTCAAATTTTCCTCAACATCGAAATATTGAGCCAAAAAATTCTTTTTTATGGAGAGTCATCCTGGCTTCCATCCACTAAAAGCAAGTAGCACCTCCCCAGTCGTGAAAACCAAAAACAATTCCAGACAGTGTCAAATGTCCTCTGAGGGGCAAAATCGCCAGTTGAAAACCACTATTCTAGACTCACATTCTAACAAAATTTTAAAAGGATTTGAAGAAATGAAATTGCTCAACAAGTAACTTAATCACCTGTAAGAATAGAACTCAACTTCTAAAAGGACAAAAAAAAAAAAAAAATCAAGACACTCAATAAGGTAATATTCAAAATATCCAACATGTAATAAGATATTACTAAACATACCAAATATCCAAAGA